TGGCATCTAAAACCTTTTTCTTTTTTAATATGACAATTGATATAGAAAAGCTGGAAATGGGTTTATATAATCTTGCCTTCCAGTTTATTCTGAGCTCAGAATCTGGAAGTGACAGTGGACTARAGGAAATGTCTGAACATACAAAGGAGCTCAGACCCTAAGAGTCAACAAGGTAATAAAGAGTTGAATTCAGGGGCTGGGGATGTGGCTCAAGGGGTAGCTCGCTCGCCTGGCATGCGTGCGGCCTGGGTTCGATCCTCAGCACCACATAAAATAAAGATGTTGTGTCCGCCAAAAACTAAAAAATAAATATTAAAAAAATTCTTTCTCTCTCTCTCTCTCAAAAAAAAAAAAAAAAAAAAAAGAGTTGAATTCAGGACATAAAAAGACTCCCTGATTTTCAAGCCAGCAGCACAGCTTTCAAGCCTCCAAGATAGAGAATATTTAAATTAGTTCTAAGATATAGTAATATACTCCTTATTTGAAATAATTTCAATGGATCATTATTGATTAGAAAAATTTGAGACAATTATTATTTTAAGTAGTAAATTTTAAAATTCAGAGAATTTAGGAATATCTTACCTTTCTGATGAGGTCTGAGAGCTCCATTTCAGCTTTCTGCTGGGCAAAATCAGATTTCACTTCAGAGTAGGTATCATTGATGATGGCCAGAAACATGTTCTGTTTGTAAATCAAAGAAAGGTAGAGGTTAAGAGACGAAGCCTAAACATATTTTGTAAACATTAATTCAATATGACACATGCTTTTTTGTTCACATTTTTTCCCTCAATTAGAAGACTTTATGAAGTCATAAGTAGTTTCGCTATCATCTTCTTCTTCAAAAAATTTCCCCATTAAGTCATGGCAAAGGAAAATACACTATATTTTATTAGTTATAAAACCATGTATTTTGATATGTTTTACAAAAAGAGACAGGAAAATGGCAGAAAAATATTAATATCTTTACCTAGGAAGAGTGGATTATTTTAAATTGCTTGTTTTGTTCCATACATGTAAAAAAGTCACATAAACTATTATGGGTGTGGATCTGTAAAAAGCTCTTCAAATATCAAAAGTCAATACAAACAAGTAGAATTCTATTCTTATATCAAATTTTTTGCATGATCATATTTGAGATTTATACAATATATTTTAAAGAGTTAAAAAGATCATGGCAAATAACAGGCCAAATTAATTATTATATTATGTGCATGTATAAATATGTAATAACAAATTCCAACATTATGCACAACAATAATGCACCAATAAAAATATGGAAAAAAATCTCTGCAAATAGGAATATAATAGACTCAGTAGACAGAGTTAAGAAAAATAAAGAAGAAAACTTTGCAAAAAGATATAGACTTTATAGTCAAGTAAAATTGGTTTTCAGTTTTGCAACTGCTAAGACTATATGGTTCAACTTTTTTAAGTCTCATTTTTAGGATATGTTTTGCATTTATGTAATGGCAAGTTACAGTTTTTCCCTTTACAGATTAGTAGTATGGGACAATGCAACACTATGCAAAATGCTTAGGATGTGTCCTACTGCAAGGCAAGGGCTAAATTATTTGCACCTATTATTATTATTCAGTGGCTGCTACTTTGTCCACTCTCCTGAGTTTTCCTTCCCCAGTGGTAATGCTTTCTAGTCACAGCATATGATTGCAATTAACTATCTCCAAGCACTGCAAACCATAGGTCTTTCATACGTTCTTCCTCTTTGTACCTAACTTCGGTTTGCAAGGATAGAGTGGTATGTGTAATTTTTTCTGTTTCCCCACATAAAAGTCCATGAACTCTTCATCAGGGCAGAGTCAGGCTCTGCTTGCCTTACCATGACATCCTTGGTATCACCCATATGCCTTCTACTGTGCAATATACATTATATATTCTATACACTATATGTAATATTATAGGGATAAAGTGATGGAGTCAATATTTATTGACTCATTGATACATGAACAAAACAGGGCTCTCATTTTAGAAGGCTACTGATTCTCCATCAGAAAGAATACTAGTGTTCTGAAGCTGTGAGAACAGAATATAGAATACAAATAAATTCCTTGCTAAAGGCTCCATTTGAAGGGAGGGTAATTTCAGTCAGAATGTCCTCCACCTTCTTCTTTCCAACCCAGGCATCTACCATTGTATTCTGGCTTTCCAGTGGCTACATGATGCTTGCAAATGTCTTATTTAAAATGGGTTCAAGGGGCGGGGGTTCCTCCGTAGACATTTTGAAAAGTACAGTAGCAGAGTAAGGTTCCTGAAAGGGTGGGAGATGAGGTTCACTTTCTTCCTCCCCTTCCAGTCTTAGCAGGGTCACCTAGCTGTCAGATGGGCCTCTGTACTAGGAGATCATTCCCTGTGAGTAGGGGGATGTGGGAGAGTTATTCTGGTTCTGACTCAAATAAGCCTTTTCACACCAATGTGAATTATTTTTAAACAGAGGCAATGAATTAATACCAGGCAGTCAGCTTGCAAAGAGAGCCAATACTACAGTTAGCTTGTTATTTGCTCAGCAGACAAGTTTGTATTAAAAGTAGACTCCTGTCTATTACCTATCCATTTACCCATCTACGTATGTCTATGAGATACAGGGAAAACAGTTCCTGCTAATGTAGCACTGAAAAAGTTATATTTCAATACAAATACAAAAACTAAGAGCTTGTTTTCCTGCTCTGCAGATTGATCCAATAAAATGACTGACTGATCTCAAGGTGCTGCCTTTTGAAGTACAATATTGAAATGAGTCCTCATCTGAGCAGTTCGTATCATCATAGTTTTGTCCCTCATTTGGCAGACTGAACACTGAGAACACTAGGTGGCCTGAGGTCAACCGAAGGATCTACTGCAGGACTCTAAATTCCTGGTCTGTTATCAGAGGAGACATTCAGGTGCCCCAGAATCCAAAGCACCACCAATGTGAGAGGGTGACAAAGGCTTAAGCTTCTGCTAATTTATTTATAACAAGAAGAAGGCACTTGGGAGGATTCAGTTCACAACCTAGCCAGGATGCTTGCACACAGCAAGATACAAATGGACTTGCTTGAAACTGCTGCACCTTCAGGGCCTGTTCAAGAGCATCATGACTCCATCAGTGAATGTCATCTCCTAACCAGGAATACCTGGGCCCACCTTCAGAATGCTACCCTCAATTACTGCAAATGTCATCATTCAACCTTCTACAAAGGATCTTTATAAAATTTACTGAAAATGGAAATGACTTCTTTTCTTAAGATGACTCTTAAGGCAATCATTAAATCTGAGTGTTATATGAAAAATACCCAGTGCCTAAGTTAAGCTGAGTTACTTTAATAATATTTTTCAATAGACTAAGTGAATATATAAATGTTAAGACAAAACACACAAAAAACCTTTAAAACTACCTTATTAGATTGAAAGTGGTAAAATTTAATTTGTAGCAAATAAAAAAACTCAAAAAGTGACCTAAAAATAATTTTAAAGCAATTTACACTCGTTGTTGGATTGAGTTTCACAGGTAATAGTCCTCATATTAGTCACTAGGTGTCTACAAAGTGTTAAATATGAATAAGTTAAAACAGAAAATCTTAATCTTGGAATGCAATAATTCACTCAAATACTACTCGTGATATCCTGGATCTAGCTTTCTTTGTCCCTTCCTTTTATTTTACTATTTTTAAAGAAGAGTAAGATTAAAAGTAATGCTAGCAAGTGACTATGAAGTGTTGACATTTGTGTTAAAAAAAAAAAAAAGTGTGAGTGAGCATATTCTACTTTAGAGGCAAAGTACTGTCTTAAGTAATATAATAAATTTGCACTTAAGTTTTAACCTTTTTTTTCTTTGAGTAGAAACACATATGAATAAATGAAAGGCAATGAAAATAAATATTTTGTTAAGACTTAAAACTTTGAATGAATGAAATATAAAAAAATTTCGCCAAATCAACATTTTGTTCTACTTCCTGGTCTCTATTTAAAATAATGAAGAATAGAGCATGAAAAAAAAAAGAAGATGGTGATTCTTGAACATTAAATCTAAATCCCCTCACTATAAACAAAAGTGTACATACCAAAAGAATGAAGAACATAAAGAACACAAAGGTAGTGAAATACAGTGGTCCCAAAACTCGATTAGCTTCCTCAATCTCTGCAAAGTTGATATCATTCAAAATGATACAGAATTGGGTGATGGTATAAAAACAAAACACAACATAATACCATAATACAGAAACAAAGAATGTCCCACAACTGATGCAACATTTATTAAAGATGATTTCACATTTTAGGATTATTGTGGAAGTGTGGATAGCTCCCAAATAATTAAAAATTCAAGTCCTTTAGAAAAATCTTGCTGCTTATGTCAGCAATGGAAGTGTTCTGGAATAATAATATGCTTTCGTGCTACATATTATTTACATCTGGTTAATATTAAATGTAATTATTATTAGGTAACTTGTATAGCAACTGGATTTAACAATCTAAAACATAATCTGGCTAAATTATGGCCTTTCTATATCTCCACAATGGTCATTCTGAACCTGAAGACAATATCTCTTAAGAGAAAAAAAGAAAAGATTTTTTAAAGGATGGCTAGATTACATGTGTTCAAAGATTCAACAATCTCAAATTAATTCAAAATGAAGGGAAAGTGACTGGACATTTTGGGTGCTAGGTTTTAGTAAAATCATTTCCTTCACTGACTTTTATCAAACAGCAGGTGAATTAGGACTCCCCATGCACAAAGCCCTATCAACTTCAATGTCATGTTATTCCTCTCCTTTCCTAACTACTAATCCCTTTGTAAATGGCACAGGAATCTTATACCGACTCTTTTGTTGGTTTTGTTTTTCCTGTACCTGGGAACTCTGGAAAAAGACTGAAAATTTCTGCACTCTGAATTTTCTCCTAGAATATTAGAAATATATATTATTCTACTTATAAAATAACTGGAAATTCAAAATGTATGGCAACCTATTTACCAAGAATGAAAATATACAAAAATGGCCTTTTAAAAGACTCCCATATACTCTGAGAGCCAGGAAGACTGGAATAGTGGTTTTCTGTGGCTGATCCACTTTATCTCAGTACCTGAGAGCAGCTATCTTAAGCATCAGCATTTCAGAAGGTATTAACAACTTTGCATTGGTAGGTAAATGTTTCTGGAAAAAGTGACTCATTTTTATTTTGAATAAACATTTTTAACTCTTCCATAGTACTCAAATAGCAACTGTGAAGATTTCTTAATGCTTGAGAAGGCAGTAACATCTCTGATTATATTTTTCTTCTTAATTTCATATATACTTACATACATTCTTGGAAAGAACTGAAGTCATCAACCTGAGCACCAAAGACGAGGTACGCCAACTGAGCATATGCTAAGAATATAATGAAGAACATAATGGCAAAGCCAAAGAGGTCTTTGGCACACCGAGACATGGTTGTAGACAGTTGGCTCATCGTCCTGTTAAAATTGATGAATTTGAAGAGCTGTAAAAGAGGAAAGACAGTGACAGGTGAATAGATAAACACAATGTGGCACATACATACAATAGAATATTATTCTGGCACAAAACGGAATGGGATTTGGGTACATATTACCATGCACACCTTGAAAACATCATTCCCAGGGAAACTATGTGTCATGAAAGGCCAGAACTGTACCATTGCACATATATGAGGCACTTAGATTGGTAAAATAAATAGAAAGCAGAAAGTACGTTACCAGGGGCTGAGGTGAGGGGGAGATGAGAAGTTAGTGCTGATGTGCACCTTAGGGTGATACGGCTCTGGTAGTGCACAGCAGTGATGGTGGCCCCACACTGTGCATGTCCTTCATGCCACAGCACTCCACATTTTAAAATGTGACAATGACAAGTTCTGTGTTATGTGTTTTAACCACAGTAAGACCAAAAGAGAGAGGACCGAAAGGACTTGGTTTTATTGTTTTCCAAAACCAGCTCTTCTATTCTTTTATTCCAAAAGGGTCTGCTAAGTCCCTAACCCATGACAGGATCTGTTCTTGGAGTTGGAAGCAGGGAACAGAACACAGCTGCAGCCTCATGTGGTCACATTTTCCAGGATGATTAACATATCATGGAAAAGGGCTTCCTCACAGTTTCAATGACTAGTGATATTTTTCCTCAAAAAAGGATTAAAATGTAAAAGAAAAATCTCTAACAAATAAACACCACAAAACATTTCAGGAAATACTATTTGTGTATCAGTAGCTATCTTTTATTTGGGCATCAATTATGTGGCAATGGTTTTCTCATATAGCTGAGTAAGCAGCCTGAGAAACACAAGGTGAGGTCTATGCCCTGTGTTAAACCTCAGTGCTTCCAGGGATAAATATAAATTCAGGAAAGCACACAGCTCCTGGTAAGCACCTTCCTCAACAGCTGTTCAAGAGAAACTTCTGTGATGGTAGAAATGTTCTACTAGTTCCATTTCCTAAAACAGTATACACTATTAACATAGAGACAGTAAGCATTTAAAATGTGGTTAGTGGGACTGAGGAACTGAAATTTTTATTACATGTAACCTTAATTAATTGAAAGTGAAATGTAAATAGCCACCTGTAGCCAGCAGTTATTATCTGTACAGCATAATCAGAACTTGAGCTGGTCACACAGGTTGGTGGCTGCTTCAAAATTAATGAAATTTCCTGCATCGCCAAAAATGAGGCTCACTGTACATAAAAATGTCCTAACCTTTCACACACCTGAAAATACACATTACATTTTGTGAAAGAGGGAAATGAGTAAATTAGGTCCTCCTTGGAGGAAAGGTCTGTCCCAGCTGATGTTCTGGGTAAAGCTTCCCTCTGGCCTCCTGGAACAGAGCAGATTGTTCTAATAAGCATTTCCAGGTGCAGCATCTCTCCAATTCCTACAAATGATCCCCTCTCTCAGATCCTTTTCCTCCCCTGGTCACATTACATAAGTTAAAACTCAGATCTGCCCCAGTGTTAGGGTAACCTGGTCCCCCAGGCCCAACTAACACTGAAAAGGCCTCTTTTGTTTGTGTTAAATGACATCTACAGGATCTGATCTTGAAAGAATTCTGGCAGCAGAAGTAGCATCATCCATAATGAGAGGAACCATCCCATGAGTCCCACTAGTTTTTCTTGATATAAATTATGGAGCAGCTGGCCACAGAATTTGCCCAAAAAAAGGCAAGTTCAAGTCCTTTAAAATTTTGCGTGACTCATGTTAATTAAAGGAAGAAAAAATAGTACTAAAAACCCAGAACATGTTCGGAATCAATTACCTTAATCCACACAAAAAATACTGTGACAGCAGCTATATTGTTGAATTGTATTTGCCAATATGCCAGATGCTCAAAGTTGGGGAAAGTATTCTGGTCTTCCAGAAAGTGGAGTAGACCCTCCACATTTGATGTTCGATATAAGCTAATTCCTATAGCCATCACCGAGAGCTGGAAAACAAAAGGCTTGTTATTTTATTATACTGCTTTCAAAGAAGCTTACCTTATAATGAGTTGTTTATTTTTCTTCACCATGTATAAATGCCACATCTGGCCAATATGCACACCCAATGGCATTCATAAAAGTCACACACTCAAATGGCAATGCTTGGCACTGCCATAAAAGACATACACAATATATATTGCTTGCATTTCCTTACTTAGGAACAGAAATCCAGTAAGTGCATGTGTCCATGGGCCTGTGCATACAATGAGTACCCACAGATGCACCCGAGATGTCACTATAACAAACCCAAACTTGAGAAGGAAGGCCTTCTGATCATTTTGCCACCCACATATAAATCATTTTCTACCCCTCTCCTCTCTTTCCCTGATTTTTCTGGTTTTAATTTTATTTTTTATTTTTTTAAATTTTCTTGTGTGCCTCTTCATTCTCCAGTTTCTAGCCATCCATTCTTTCTCTTCAGATATGCACATATACAACAGTGTCTGGGCCAGGAAGAACACATGGAAGTGAACTTGTGGTAAGCTCCACTCCCCAAAAACTCACACTCTTAATTCAAGACAAGATAAACACACAAAGCTAAATAATACAAAAAGTTCCTAAAGAGTTGGCATCACACAACATGAGGTGAAGCCGAAACCAGACACACTGAAAAGGAGTGCACAAAAGAGGACAGAATGTGCTTGGTCTAGAATATGGTGGGAATGAAGGTCAGAGAGGCTAAAGGAAACTTGCAGTGAAGTATGTGAACAAACTGGTTCCTTCTTAATCATGGCTATCTCTGCATTTATAACATACAACTTTTCACATTTTTCTTGGGTCTGAGCTATACAAGATCAGAGGGAACAATGGCCCCTTCTTGCCACCCACCACCACTGGATTAATGTGTATTATGTGAACAGTTCACTGTAGTATCTGTGCCTTTCTGTGGGATCTGAGTCTGCACTACGTGGGCTGTGACAGGTTCTTTGACCTTCTTTGTTCTTTCCCTCTACTTTTGAATGATGGCCAAAGATCACTTCATTAGACCTTCCTGAGAGAATAATCCAGACCAGGTGATTTTCATAGAAAAGACCCACCTGGCTGACAATCACAGCTAAAAAGCCAACCTTACTTTCTTTTCTTATCAGTGAAGGATTTCCAGATACAATCTTGAACTTTTGTGCTGATGGTAGGAACATTTTCTTAGAGCTCTCTGAAAATGTTCTTGTACATTGACTCATCTGAGAGGGATAAAGATGCTGGGGTTGGTTGAACAAATCCAACAATAACCCTCTACACAATTCTCACATGGTACAATTTGCTACCTAGTCCAGATGTTTTTACTCCACACAGGAGAAATGTTCATAAACACATGGAAGTGGTGGTTGTTTATACAACATCAATATCATGTTATATTAATTTTCCTTGGAACACTTCCTCCAAAATAGTGAATAAAAGAAGAGAGGTGAGAAAGAGGTTTGTGAGCATGTGGGTTGTTAGGTTACTCCTGATTATCTCTGGGATTCTCACCCACATCTACAAAAGACCTTTCTCTCCATATTAGAATGTCAGCATTATAAGGGCAGAGGATTTAGTTATTTTATTTGACTCTGTATCTCCAGTGCCTGGAAAAGTGCTATACATAGTAGATGCTTGGAAAATATCTGTTGAATAACTAAACATCTTTGCTCTGCGACACAGCAATCAACATTATTTTAATTTAGTCCTGTAAATTATCTTTTTTCAATATTTCTGCTAGCTACAAAATACTGTAGCCTAGGACAATTGACTGACTGACATAAACCTGTAGACTTCAGAGTATTTGCTGCAGAAACAGAATGAGAAAAGAGTGAAAACAATTTCAAAGTAACAGCGAGATGTGATCCTTAAAATGTAATTTTTTTTTCAGGTTTTAAGGTGAACTCAAACAAATTTAGGCTAGATGACAGAAATCCTTGGCTCAGGGTACATTTGGGGATGAGTAGGAAGCATGTCCTTACTTCTAGATGGTGAAAAAAATTTTCAATAAGAAGGTGAATTGCAATTGTCCTTCCCTGTTCTATATGAAGTATAGTCTCAACTGTGTCATGGCACTACTCAGAGTTAAACCAAAACAAAGGAAAGCAGGAAAAAAGTTTTGAAAAGATACTTGCAAAATGCTGTGACTGCTAAGATACAGAAATAATCTTTGACCCACATCTCCCCATCTATTTTCCCAGGGATGTCCATAGTAGGTACAAGGCAACTCACTGGAGTGTGGCATAAAAACCTGTAAGAAGAAAGTGCTCAAATTCTCTTTGTATTAATTTTTATATTACTCTTCTAAATTCTCCCAATACGCTCGACACACACACACACACACACACACACACACACACACACAATATACTATAGTATTCAGTCAAAGTTTTCACTGATAGAAATACAAGTTAAAAAACAATGAATCCTACCAACTAGTCTTTCATCAATACTGAAGTCATCTGGTTAAAAGAAATCTGTTATGTTAGTATAACATCACACTTAACCTTTTTGCCATTATTCTCAATAACAAATAAATTTATATAAGTCCAAAAAGAGAGTTTCAATCCTTAAGGGTTACAAACAATAACTGTGTTCCAAAATAATTCTTACTGTATAGGGTCTGTACTCTGCCCTCCCTTAGTAGAGAATATTTTGAAAAATTATTTCCAGAATTGTTGCTTCTCCTACTTCCTTAAGTACTGAAATTCTTTTGTAACTCTGCTCATTATTAATACATTGGAAATGTRGGGGACAACTCCTGTTACCTTGATTTGTGTGGGCTGTGTGATGTTACACAGCCATCATAAAAGAAGGAGGCGGTTTTGACTGCACTAGGTTCCAGACTGTAGCTATTCTGCATGAATTTTTTTCTAAGTATGACCTTTTTCTGTAGCACAAATGTACATGGCTCCAGAAGCAGGTGCAGAGTGGTTAAGAGGATTAATGGAAAAGTTAACTAAGCTTTTGTGTATGAAAGCACTTGGAAATGCTCATAACACAGTAGCTTCTAACAAGCAGACTGTTGTTATTATAATGATTGGTACTAATATTGTTCATTACCATGAAACACATACCTGGGCAGTTTTACTTATGCCTAAAGTGTCCTTTCACTGAGTGACATGTTTTCTTAACTAATACTAATAAGACATGATTTAATACTGACTTGATGTAAATGCTTCACAAAAGCCAAATAAATTTTTGGGAGAGGAGCAAAGGAAAGAATAACTGTCACCAAGAAGGCTAAGACAAGAGTGAGTGCCAACAGGATAATGAATCATTTCCTGAGATTTCTGAGGTTCATTTCTATGCTAGGCAGTGGGCATAGAACAATATATAAACAGAAAAGTATGACATCAGTGTGCTATTCAAAATTTTAAGCACATAATAATTAGATGCATTATTACATGGTTAAATGTGTAACAAAACTTAGGCAAAGGCTGACTATTTTTGCTGAAGGAAGACACAAGTTTGACAATTCATTTTTACACTGAGGCCTCTGGAAGGAAGTGATTAATTAATTGACTCCAACGAAGGGAAAACAAACTGAACAACTGTTAGAAGTTAAAATACAGTCAAGGGCAGGCACAACATCTAAAAGTTGTTTTAGTCTTGACTATGTAACTGTGCTTCATGATTTCTTGTACCTTATACAGAGAACTTTGATGGGCATGACTTAAATTTTGTTCTCTGTGGACTATACATAGGAATTCTTAACCTAAGAAGGTTTACTATGTCACTCAAAATATTTTCAGGATGTTCCTTCTTGCCATAACTTGACACATACGCAGAAAAATGTAAATAATTTTTTTTTTTTTTTTTATGTTGGAAAAAAGAAAGTATATTTAGAATTAGACAGCTGGACTTTGTTTAGATGATCCCAATTTTGTTGGCAACGGTAAATAATTTTTTAATAGACGTTGAACCCCAAATAAATAATTTTATCTCCTATATCTCATATGGCTGGCCACAGTCAAATAGTAATTGCTGAGTTATTCTCATGATTAGTGTGGTTATTTGAGAGCTCACTGTAAATGCCCCTCTACACCATAATTAGTAAGGTCTCACATGCAAAATAATTTGTAATGCAGAAGTGGATGTAACAGAGAGAGGACATTTTAGATTTTCTTCTGGAAATATCAAGATCCACAGTTCTGAGGAGATCAAAGACTGTAATTAATATGCTTTTGGGATAAGGTAGGGAAATTGGTATTGCTTTTCAACCTACCACAATGATCACAACATCCAGACAATTCCAGAAACTCCTGAAATATTGTAGTTTGTGAATGCGAATTTCCAATATCTCTTCCACGACATAATAAAGGATAAAGAAACAAAAGATAATCTCACAGGCTGCCAGGAAGAAATCAAAAGTGGTGACGTATCGAATCAGCTTTACAGGTTGAAATTGCCAAGAGGGAACCACACCGCCTGTTGCTGGGAATTCAACCAATAACCTGCATAGCAATAAGAACAATTAAAACAACTACAGCACAGGGTTATAGCCAGAAGGGTGTTTCTTCCTTCTCTGAATTACAACGTAATAAATCTGCTACCATAGCTCACCCAAGCTAGTGGCAAATCATTTTTATTATCGCCAATACCAACACACTTGTAGAATCTTGTACAAAAAAAGGAACCAGAATTCCCAAGACCTTCATCCAAAGGATTCCTTTCTCTTCAGGCTTCCCTTTATATTTTCTGGCATTTGTACTGTTTAAAATACTGAACAATTTTTTTAAAATGGATAGTTACTCAACAAAGAAATCTTTCTAATGCTACTATTAGGTGCAAGTCATTTTACTAGGTAGCATGAAAAATACCCAAATACAAAATATGCACCAAAACATATGATAGGGTTGAGAAGTAGGGTATATATTTTGCAATATGTGAAGATAGGCCTGAGCATCACATTCATTCATTCATTTACTAGTTAATGCCTAATTAGCACCAGATACTTTCCTCCAGGGTACTTTCTTTCCCCTCCCCAGTGCTTTGGGGTTCACAGGCTCTCAATCAGGGCCTATTGTCTGAAGCAGTAACATGTTTTCATTCATACTAATGGCACTGATAATCAGTGCTTTCCTATGATTGAACTAAAATTCCCATTTTACAGTTCTAACATTAAGTAAGTTAAATGATTCACTTAATGGTACCATTTTCCTATCAAATTAGAAACAGAATCTTTAACTCCATGATTTCAGACATTTAAAAGCCCTTGGGAAGCTACTAGGCATTGCTATCTCCTCTGGTACAGGTAGGACTAGAGAGTAGCCATGAGGACCACAATTTCGAGAGAGCAATATGGAGAGCAGAGCCTGGTGACAGCCTCAGAGTCAACTGTAAGGGGAAGGAAGAGGCTCTGTGTCAAGCCATGTCTCTCTGACCGACTCTGGCTCTGTACTTGACAACCACTTCCAGAAAATTAGAAAACTATATAGGAAAACGGAGTAACTGGCTTTGATGGTCATCACCCTTAAAGTCTGGGAAGGACATACTAAGACTAAGTGAGAGATAGAGCTAGAGTTTTTATAGATAGACATTGACTTAAATGTTGGCTGCTTGCCTATTTTTATCCTCTTCTAATTCTCTTAGAATCATTAAGGGAAAGTTCACCTCAGGTACCTTTGGTGAGACTTAAGCATGAGCAGGAATCCATAAGGTATAGCCCCTGACACTGACTATGCACTAATAGCTTGGGCATCATCTGAGAGTGGGAAGGTCAGGGAAGGGAGTCTATGTTTGACAGCCTTGGAACATGTAATGGAGCACGTAGCTCTGATCATCCTCATAATGGCTGAGGATAGGTGTTAGAAAATCAGATGCTTTTTCTGAAAAGGGTCTGAACTGGCATGAACTTGGACTAGATTTAAGGTTCTTTCCAAATCATAATATTCTAGGATCATAAATCCCTTCCTGAAATTTCCATGTCCCACTAAGACTTCAGTTTTCACCCCTGCCTTGTTATTGACCTGGATCCTCATTTATACGGCTACAAGCAAGAGTTGTTTGGCCTATCTCCAGAATAGGATATATAGGCACTCCCCAGAATTGGGAGCAGTATGTGCCCTCAGTACACACCTGACCACACAGAACAGGTTAATGTTGGCATTGTACACTGAGAAGTCAATAAAAGTTGCCCTGGTTCCTCGGTCCAACCAGACATTTTTCCTGAGGCTAGTAATCTGGGCAGCTGTTTCCTCTCTGGTTCTTGACAAATCCAGGTAATAGCCAGCTCCACTGTAAGATGCAATTATTCCCCAGTGGCTACTCCCATTCAAGTCTTTTTCACTTGTGTAGATCCAACTAATTTAAAAAACAAAAACAAACAGGTAAAATCAGTAAAATACCAATGGCAGTTACAAGGTTCCTGGTAAGATAAGGATAGGAAAGATGGTGGAGTGAGATGGACATCATTACCCTAGGTACATGTATGATTGCATGAATGGTGCGTCTCTACACTGTGCACAACCACAGAATTGAAATATGGCACTCCATTTGTGTACAATGAATTGGAAATGCATTCTGTTGTCATGTACAACTAAGTAGAACAAATAATTTTTTTTTAAAAAAAGAAATAAGTCTTATTATACTGAGTAATACACTTGATGTGGTACTTCATTAGTGTTACTGAATTGTCATACAGTTTTTAGCCCCAGTAAGGCATTGAGGGTCCTAAGGATTACTGAGATCAATTTAGTCCCAAAGTTTTTGATGGTAGAGTTGAGAATACACACGGGGCTGTCTGTCCACAGAGCCTCTGCCATCAGTCCCGAGTTCCCATTGCTACTTTCCCTGATGATTGTCTATACTCAAGGACTACATGACTCCAAGTCCCCAGTGAAAATCACAGATAAAAGGGGACAAGTCCATCCTGTGTCTTGCTATGTGGTCTCCATTTTTTCCATATAAAATACACATGATGCCTATATAGAGATGCATATATTTTGTGAGAGATAAAATAATACATCTATAAAAAGAATCTCACACAGAGTAGGGGCTGGAAAAATTTCTTATTAATGATGTGAGATACAGTAAAATATTTGAAAAGGTGCCACTGATTAAATATATTATTCTGCAGGACTTAGAAAAAGGAGCATTAGAAAGTATAATCACTTTCATAACCTGGAAAAAATCTTTTCAGATTATTTAGTACCTTTGGTCTAATCTCCCGATTTCTACTAAATTTGTGACTTTTGAGCCTTGGTACTAAATACAGTGTACACTGAATTGTAGGTAAATTATCTTGTCATTGAAAAAGGTATTTGTCCCATTGAACATAACAAATGTGGATTCTGGGTGACTCCGTTCTCAAGAAAATTATGCAGATGACCAGACATTAGTCATTCAGCATTGCTTAGAAGGTGGCTCTGCCATAGTGACTTACCCTGGGGCAGCCACCTCAGGAGGCCCACCCTGAGACAGCCTGAGAGCTTTGCCCATTTATCTGGCATAACTACAATAATTCTAAACCTAGGAAGTTTAGAACGCAGAAATATTTGAAGCATGGGTGCTAAAGTATACTAAAACTCCTGCAAAGGTGCACATGTACAAATGTATACTTAGGATTATAAACATACATTTTAAACCAGGGGCTTTAAGTCAGACAAAAAGAAAGAAAGAAAGAAAATGCTGCCTTACCAGCTCATACTTTAAAAAACTACACTTTTCATGGAGATTCCCTGAAAAACTAAAAGTAGAAGTAGCATATAAGCCAGCAGTCTCACTAGTGGGTATTCATCCAAAGGAAATTAAATCAGCATTTCGAAGGGACCTCTGCATCCCCATGTTTATTGCAGTACTATTCACTTTAGCTAAGATACAGAATCAAAAGAAGTGTCTATCAACTGAAGAATGGATTAAAAAATCACACACACACACACACACACACAGAGGAATATTGTTCAGCAATAAGAAAGAAAGAGAGAGAGAGAGAAAGAGAGAGAGAGAGAGAAAGGAAGAAAGAAAAAAAGAAAGAAAGAAAGAAAGAAAGAAAGAGAAAGAAAGAAAGAACAAACAATGCATGCAATCCTGCCATTTGTGTAAAAGTGAATGGACCTGGAGGACATGATGTGATGTAGGTGAAAGAAGACAGGAACAAGGTAAATATTACATGTTTATGTCCATATGTGAAAGTTGTAAAATCAATCTCATAAAATACAAGCACAGAATAGTAGTCACTAGAGTTTAGGAGAGAGCATGGAATGGGGACAAAAGATGCCAGATCCAGGGCACAAAACCCCAGTCAGATAGGAAGAAATACTTCTGATATTCCACACCACAGGGGCAAGTAGGGTCTGTAATGACTCATGCTATATCTCCAAATAACAAGAAGTAGCCAAAGTTTCCCAACACAGAGGAATGATTGAGGAGATGGAAATATTAATTACTCTGATTCGATCATTACTTATTGTAAACCTGTGTCAGATTATTGTACTGCACCATAAATATGTACAACTTTCAAAAACTTTCAAATAAGTTACACTTCAAATAACTGCACTGTAAACAAAAAGCTATTTATAAGAAATATTAAAAATAAAGGAATTTCTACATCAGAAAAGTTCCTACTGAATAACCTAGGAGACAATATATACATGGCCAACAGACCTGGAAAGTCAAGGTCAAATGTTTTCTCTTATATGCAACAGCTAGACCAAAATAAGGAGCTGAGGGAGAATCCCATGAAAACAGAGAAGAAACCAGTAAAGGAGAGAAAATGGACTAAGCAGGAAGGAGGGCTGGGAAAAGGGAGAAACAGTGGAATGGAACTAACCAAACTATGCTATGTACATACATGAATATGACAAGTGAATTCACTATATATATATATATATATATATATATATATATATATATATATCCATTACACAGTGATTTAAAAAAAAAAACTATAAGTAAACAGAAGAAAGGCCAGTAGGGTCAAAGAAAGGGAAAAGGGAGGAGGGAGTAGGAAGGTAAAGGGGGGAAGTACTGGGTACTGAATTAAATTATATTCCATGCTTGTATAATTTTATCAAAATAAACCCCAATATTACGTATAACTATAATGCACTGATTTAAAAAAGGATCAAAACATCTTAAATAAAACTTTAAAGACTCAGGTAATTTGTTTTTTGTGGATCATACAATCAACAATTTAGCCTTTTGGAAATATGCATAGAGAAACTAGAAGGGAATTGAAAAGTAGAGAAAACTTAAAAGACACCAGATGTCACTTTGGCCCAAGCTTTAAAACAAGCTTTGAGGACTCACTGAAGGCATCTTCTAATTGCTAAAACCATCAGAGAATAAATGATGGAATGTCAGTGGGAGGTCAGAGAATGAGTCAATGAGTCAATGTCACTTAGTGGCCACAGTCCCAGATACTTACGCAGTTCCATTTCGTGGCCCAAATGGAGCCCTGTCTTCGCTACTGACAGAGTAAACATCATAGCACTCTTTAATTTCCTCTCTCAAGTCCTGGGGGATGGAACAGGATCCATTTCTGACTTTGACTTGTCGTATGCGTGGAACCCCTAACAGCAGATTCTCGTAGAAAATGAAACTTCGGTTGTCAGCTTCTGTTTGGTTGCTGGGCTGCACCTTCCAGTACAGCCCATCCAGTAAGGGGCCTTCTGCAAACTAAAAGCAAAGACAACTTTTTTTTTCTTCTTTTGCCTTTTTTCATCATTATTTATTTATTTTTTTAATAATTATTTGGTGCTAGATCACACCCAGAACTTCACAAATGCCAGCCAAGCACCCTTCCACTGAGCCACAGCCCCGGCACAATGGCATGGTTTTTAAAAAAAAAATCTCCAAGTCACTGTCTTGCCTCTGCCTGAAATATTTGCATTACCAGGGTTTTGGCTACTCTGAACAAGGTAGAGCAGTAAGAGGGGGTTCTGTTGTCAGTACACTTGGCACAGGATGGGTGCTTAATAAGTGGCCACTCTGATTTCTGTTCTGGGACTAAAGGCAGTCAGGTGAGAGTGTTGTGTGAGTCCACAGCCACAATCAATTCTACTCTTCCTCATGAAAACAGCATTCCACATAATCATTGCTCTGAGCTAAAAGGTAAGAGTGTCAATTGTCAGCCTATCATCTGGTGGATTTTTTTTTTTTAATGTCTGAACTCCTGCTCTACGGGAGCCTTTCAACATATCTCCTCCTCTTTAGAGCTTGGAATTTATTATCACAGAACTGTATATGTGTGAGAAATCTCTTGTTAGTTTGTACAACGAGCTACACCCCAAGAGAAGAGAGATCTAGCCACTTCTCAGCATATAATCTTTATCAGATGATCAGCAGAGATAGCAACCAGTTCCACTGAGGGGGCAAATGTTAATATTATACAAATGTGCTTTTGATGCCAAGTACTGTTATTTATTAATAGATTCCCATGACTCAGTTTTTTTTTATGCTTAAAATCAACAGTTTTTACCCAGAGGTTAGTCAGAATTTTACAAAGTATCTCACCATGGAGAATCAATCATTTTCTTTCCATTTCCATCAGATTTTCTTAGACACTGAGCACCATATTGCCCAGATTGGCTTAAAATTTGTTCTATATAACTTTTTGCTTATGCTCTGCTACTATGGTTGAATTTTTGACACTGGGAAAGGGGCTGGGTTGAATTTTACATTGGCAAACCTTTGAAAGAATATGCTTCCCTTGTATTAAACATCATCCCAAGAGCTGGGGATACATGTCATCACCAACAAAGACAAAACACAAAATCCAAGCAACACAGAGCAACCAAAATGCTCTCCTGATTCTCAATGTTTACTGAACCATGAATGGCTGAATGAATAATAAACTGGCGCAGAAAAGTGGCTGTCATAGTAGGAACAAGTCTCTTATTCCCCAGCCAAGTGACCTTGCACATTTAAACACCTGAATCTCATTTGCAAACTGGGGACAGCAGCAGTATTGACCTTGTAAATTACCATGGGGATTAAATGGGGAAGGTATGAAATACCCAGTGTGGCATAAGGCATCTGCAAAGATCTCAATAAATCTTAACTTTATCCTTCTTTGAAGGTAGCAGCAGTAGATTTGAAGAACTCACCATGACTTACAACATCTCACAAAGTAGTAAACACTCAGCAGGCCCTGAAGAAACACATGCAGTGAAATTCTGAGGCCAAATAAACAAAGTTAAGGCATAAATATGTACTTTCAAAGTTATTTGAAAATACCTTCCAGAAGTCCTCCATTGAAGAAAGAGTTTTAAAGTTCGTTTTCTCTGTTTTAGACAATGGGGTGTCTAGGAAGAGCTGCGACATTATCCGGGTATAGTAGTATACATTGGAGCTCATCATGCCATAGGTCACTGGAACACAGAAAGAGCCAAATGAGCTCCACAATGCAACCTGCACACACATTTGCACAGCTTACAGCTTCCACAGGTGGAATATGCCTGGTTGATGAACATTTTGAATGGACAAACATCTATGTTAGGTCTTTTTTACACTTGCCTTTCTTCCTACATCATTCTTCTAGGACATGTCTACATCTTTGGCTTATAAAACACATTAAACATTAACATTGACCACTGTGAAACAAAATTGGTTTATCATTGAGCATCACGTTAAGATCAGATCATTTTACTTGATGGTTTCCAATGTGGCAGTTTGTCATCTCCCATAGAGTGGTCCTGTGTCAGACCACGGGCTGGTGAGTCTGATGTGCACAGGTTCAAAAGGAGCAGTGCCAAGCTCCTCAAGCTATGGCTGTGTCCATGCTATGGGGATAACATGAACAGGCCCTTCTCTGGCTCCCTCAGATGAACTTTCCATTTCTGTTTCCCTGCTCAGTTCCTGAGGGTGACCACTGTGAACTGGATCACCTGTGAGCCTTTGCATCTGACCAGGTAGGTCAGAGGAGACAGAGGTCTGGGTTTTTCCCTCTACTCATATGCTCCATTCTGACCATCTGATACAGTTTAGCAAAAGATCCTGTATCTTGGCCATAGCTTCTGGAGGAATCTTCTCCCACAGATACACTGTGTTTTTGCCAGGCCATTCCCTCCCAGAGTCTCTTCCATCCTGGAGTTGGTAACCTTCCCCGGAGAGCCTCATCTCCAGTGCTTACTGCTGCCATAACTCTTCAAAGAGCCTCTTCATTCAACTTGAATTATCACCTTGTTTCACCATCTCTCTCCCTGGAGGCCCACTGTTACAGACCTATCCTAACCCATGAACACTCACTGATCACACTGAATGGTCTAGAAAAGGTGGGAAAATAATTTATAAACTTGTGAGATCAATGTAAATCAGGGTTTGACTCTTGGCCATGCTCCTTACTACCCACACTGAGCAGGTGGCTTAAACTTCATGAGCTTCAGTTTTCTCTTCTGTATGATGGGATAATTAGCTATTCCATGAGAGTTTCTGATAGTTACACAAAAATAAGATTTATCTAGCACTACATGCCTGACACTAACAAATGTCCAATCATGGTGATTCTTCCTCCCTGCTGGGTTGCTACAATCTATCTATTGCAAATTTCAGCAATTTAAGAAATATTGTCTCACACTGGGTTCTAATTATTATAAGTGCAATATGGTACACTTCCCATAATTTGCTCACAAAAAGCCTCAAGGGGACAAAATATGTGTTATATTTCTTTTGAACACAGCTCTGAACACCCAGCAGATGATTAACACTTACCTGACTTTATAATAATCTTCAGGCTTCACAAAATGTATATAAAACTTACATTATGTTGGGATTCAGTGTTATTTAGTCAATCTCTCCTATAGCCCTCTTCACCTTTTCAGCATATAAAAATGCAGATTATTAAACAAGAGGAATTGATAATAGTGATTCAGTACAATCAAGCTCATCCCAAGCAATCAGCAAGAAATATACACATATGGACAATTAAAAAATACATCAAAGAAGTATGAATAATTTCCTGACCCTTGGTCAGGCTCCCTCACCTGTCATCCTATGACCTGAAGTACTAATGACAAGAACAGTCTTCTCCGAGTGTTATCCGAGTTGCTACCTTTCAAAATGTACTGGATCCTCGTTAAAGGTTTATAATTCTAACCTATTAACATTGACAGAACAGGTACTAAACATGAAGACAAACAGGTGACCTCTTCCTCCAGGAGAGGAGTTTATAGCATTTCAGGGGATGTGCTGTCTGCCCAGATACCACCAAGAGGTGGACACAGGTACAATACACTCTGCAGAGGCCTTCTACGGATCCAGAGCCAATTAATGGGGCAAAGATAACATGAAAGAGTAAGTAATGAAGGCTCCTAAAGCCAACTAAATGATTAACTTGATTAATCATTTAGCTAACATGAAATTATAATTCCTTTGGATGTGTGAATAAAGAATATTGTGAAAGAGTTTTTTTTTTTTTGGCCTATGGGTTTGTCGTTGCTTTTAAAAATGAATTTTGATAGCTTATACCTTCTGAATTCTAAATATGATCCTGTTTTATGTATAAATTTAAGTATTTTAGCCAGTGATTTTAAATATGCCTATCTTTCATTTTCCTCATGTATATAAGACCCAATATTGAGTTTTGCCTTTTAAATTCTCAGGATTTATATTGGCATCCACACCTTCACTCAAAGGGAAGCAAGCTTCTCCTGCTTGTGTAGCACCAACTGCTGGACAGCCAGGAAAACAGCACATTCTCACTTTGAAGGATGATTATTTTAACAGACCTTTCATCAGGTCAGCCCCTTTTTTGCACCAGGCCCTAGAATGAACTACTACATATTCCTTTTTTTTTTTTTAAAAAAAAAAAAAAAAAAAAAAAAAAAAAACTCCCTGTCCTGGGGATTGGAGCTAGGGTTGCTCTACCACTGAGCTACACCCACAGCTCTCTTTACTTTTTGATACAGGGTATTTCTAAGTTGCTGAGCCCAATCTCTAACTTACAATGCTCCTGCCTCAGCCTCCTGAGTAGCTGGGATTGCAGGCATGCACCACCACACCCAGCTGTCATGTGATGTCTTTGAGTGGCAGTTTTACACACTCCAGGAGTGAGCCACAGCCTTAAGTCCATGTTGGTGGCTGCTCAACAACCCTTGAATTTGGATTCAGATGATTTGAATCAGGATTTTAGCTATGTTCCATTCTGAATATCTGGCTCTAGGGACCATGACTATGGGTCTTGGTGTCTTAGAATCTTGGACAACTAATAATTTTGAAATAGGTTAAACCCCTACTAGACAACAAGGTTTTAAATAATTGGTTAAAAAAGGAAAAAAGGCATATTTAGTGTTTTTATAAGAAACATTCAATGTAGAGTTGAAAAGAAAAAAGGGACAAAATATTATTAAAGTTATTAAGTGGATTAAGAATATGACAAAAAAGATTATAAGGAAAACACTGAGTCATATAAAGTTATTGTATATTGAAAATGGTACCATACACAATAATTTAAGTATCATGAATTCATGTGTATTGAATAACAAATCATCAACAAATACAAACTAATACTTGCAAGTAGTGTAAGAATTAGCAAAAATCATAGAAACTTAACCTTACATCTTTCAATCTTTGACAGAGAAAGTAGATGAAAATTATCTAGGCACATGGAGTGTCTGAACTGAACACATGACTCACTATACAAATATAAAACTTCATACAGTAACCCTAACTCAAAAATTTGAAATCTAAATTTGTTCCAAAATCTGTAAGTTTTTGAGGGCTTGATATGATGTTACAAGTGGAAAATTCCATGCTATGAACCTTTATTTCATGAACAGAATTATTACAAATATTGTATAAAATTACCTTCAGGGTATGTGTATAAGGTACATATAAACATGGGTCCCATCCTCAAAATGACTCATGACATATAGGCAAATATACCAACATCTACTCCCAAATCCCAAACACTTCTAGTCCTAAGTATTTTGGATAAGAGTTACCCAAGTATAATCAAAAGAGATCACTCCCATTGTTCCTCAAGTATTTGTGGAACATTTACAAACTTGGTAATATGCTAGGCCACAAAAAGAACATCAGTAAATCTCCCAAATTAAAAATCAACTGGGCACACTTCTGAAGACACTGACGTGTTTAGACAGAGAGAAAGGGAGAATGCCACATGGAGATGGAGGGTTGGAGCAATGCAGCTATACCTAGGAGGCCAAGAGCTGCAGCAACCACAAAGGCTACAAGAGACAAGAAAAGACACCACAGTTCAGAGGGAGCCCTGTCCACACTTTGATTCCAGACTTTTTGCCTCAGAACTCTTGAGGCAATAAATTTCTATAGTTTTAAGGAAAAACACAAGACAAATGAACTCCTCACAACAAACAGAAAAACATAATAAGCCAACATTTTTTAAACCATAAATTATGAAAATGAACAAAAGGATGCATATAGCATGAACATATAATATTATGTCACGAAACAATTTAAAAAGTTTCTTTCCCTTAATTAGTTGTGGGCCAAAGAGGAAATCAAAATACCATAAAAATGTAACTGTCCCAGATATAAAGATGGTAGAACTAAGATATATTGGTCCTGGATTCCAGGCCATGTGTCACAAAGTGAAGGGGCCACTTTGCACAGGAAGCTTAACTTTTTCGCTAACTTCATATTGTACCATCTTCTTATAGGGATATGTTGAAGATATAATAAAAACATATATTTGAAGGCACTCTAGAAACTAAATCCATCATAAAGAAATGCCAAGCACTGTACATAAATCAAAGAATTATTAGGCTTAAACTGATTTAGTTGTCATCAACTTGTAGGGAATATTCTGTGCATCAGTGAATGAGAAGCACTAGTGAACAAAAGGGAGAATGGAAATGGGAAAGCTGTCAACAGTAAGTGAGAAGCCTTCATGCCAGCACTGCAGTGTGCTTCCTCCCTCCCTGTGAGGGTGAGGGACCATGAGCCAGTCTGCCAATCCATTTGAGGATGCATGACAGAGGTGGCCCAGGGCTTCTCTCTGGATCTGGCTCCTGAGCTGATCTTGAAGAGTATGGATTGACAAAGACTTTTTGCTTGGTCAAACTACAGTCAAGATCCTGACCCTTCTCTTAGGCTCATCTACGTACTTCCTTGTTAAGTCCAGCTTCAGCAAAGAAATTTGCTAAATTTGTTTAGCAAGACTTTCATCCTCCGTATCTGATCAGGTTCCTCATCCTACAGCTCCCCCAGTTGGTCACTCTGGCCCATCATTTGCCAGAATCCTCCTTAAGCTGCTATTTCCTCTTAGGAACTTTTTATTCCCTCACTCCCCACCCTGCTCCTTGGCTATAAATTCCACGTGCCCATGCTGCATTTAGAGCATCCTTTCCTATACCCACCATGATGGTCCTGTCTACCTTACTATGTCTTGATA